ATATGTCTTGATATTTTATTATTATAGGCAACTATTTTATTTCATAGACTTTGCTTTAATGGAGATGAGCATTTTTCTTAAGTGGGGAGGTTACAAAAGAGAAGCAATTAGTCAGAGGAAAAGAACTTGAACATTAATTCATTAGAAGGAAATACTTCTAAAGCTGAGAGTATGTTGGCTGGGAGACTTGTAAGGTGGGCAGGCTGACCGGTCCTTTGACACAGCACACATGCTCTTTATGTAATGTCACAGATTATTTGGCAAGTATCAAAAGAACAACCTCAGACTACCACAAGAATATCATGTTTGGATATTGAAGATTGATGCCATATAGGCCAATTTTTGATTTGTGATAATAATGCAAATGCTAGCGATGCATTATGAGCCATGATTTCACTGTATTTTGGTTTTTGTGATGTGATGTATAGCTGATATTTAATATTGTGCAGTGGAGAAACGATTACAACAGATACATTTTAAATAGCGTTTATTGTGTCCTGTTGCTCCAAATTAGGTCAGCTATTTTTAGCACAGCCACTTTTGCATAAAAGATCATACAGCTAGAGAAAAACTCTGAATTTCACAGTAGCCTACATGTAGAGCTCTAAGATATTTATCACGTGGACAAGAATAAAATGCTACACTAGCCTGAGAGCTAATACATGTATATTTTTAATTTGTAAGTGCTGGTGAAATGTATTAGACTCTAAATAAAATGGAAATATAGTAAGCTATAGCTCACGGTTTACTTTGTACCGACTCTTCTTTTGCAACAAAAACATTGCAAATGCATTATTTCAATATCACTATGTGTTTTTAAGGAGCAGGCATTCTCAAAATTCAGTGGGAATTCGATAAAGCTATCATTTGAACCTACGGCTAAACGAACAGAAACCGAAAAGTAGACAAATACCAACTCTGGCTGAAGAAAGTGCAAGTGTTATTTCAGCTGGAACTGGGACAAATACCAGCGTGGGAACGAAATGTCTTTCACCAGTACACTTAAATCCCCACACTGGGGTTTAATGATTAAAATAACGCGATAATTATCGGTAAAAGGCGAAAATAAAGTCATTTCAGGCTTATATGTGCGGTGCCGTGTTAAGGTCACTCGCCGCCTGCATGAATTCCCTTCTTTGTGTTTACACATCCGGGTTTCCTTGTTTGCAGCCCATTCCCCATTTAGAAGCCATTTTGGACACAGATCAGTAACATGCATGTAAACCCCGATCGACCTCCCGACGCAGCGGTGCTACTGTTCCACTGAATAACCTCAAAAAGAGCGCCGAGCTCTCGTCTCGGATGGTTTAAACTGCTTCCCGATCGTATTGTGGATCCGGTTCCGATGCGAAATGCTGTATCTATTAACGGACTAAGAGCCTGGCAGTCAATCGCTCCTATCTTTTCTTGTAACATTGTTGCAGCGTCGCGGCTATTGACACGCGTTGTGGTGCTGCTGGTGCTGCTGGTTAGGCTGCTGGAGGGACCGGAGGCCTGTGGTCGTTCTGATCCCGGACCGATGGTTTGAACGAGCCCAGTTTTGATGTTCGCGGCGGAAAGCGGGGGAAATCTCTGTCTTGTATTTAAAACGGAACATGTCTTTTTCATGGCTAACTTGTTCACTTCTTCTGGGAACTTTATGCGCAGGTAAGGTCCAAATTTGCAACAGTTTTTTTTTTTTGTTTGTTTGTTTAGTTCAGGACATATTTTACGTTTGAAATGTCGACGCGCGAACGAGTTAGTTGGTTGTTGGAACTTTGTTGGCAGTGGATATTATGGATCAGTTGTGGATTTTATTCTTTCGCCCATAGTCGCCTTTTGTCGGCTTGTCCCCTGTAACACACCGGTTTCCTTCTCAAATGATTTAACTCAAGATGAGACTTTTTGATTAAAAACCACTCAGCTGTCATTAAACACAGGCTTTTACGCAGATGAATGTAAATGTATTTATCCAAATGTAAAGCTGTTGCGTTCCCCTGGCAGCAATAGAAGGCAGCAGCTGCACCAACGTCCTGAAACCTTATAGGCTACATCTCAGGTCTGTGCTTACAGCCTGAACAAGAGCCTTTGAAAACACTATGAGGATTGGGAAAAATACATCAGGGGTGTCTGATTTGAAGACACATTTGTCTAAAGTCAGATCTTTGCTCTGAGTAGAGGGTGCTGTTACACAGCTGCGAATTTTATTTCTTTATTTAGCCATATGGGAGATTTTATTGTGCCTCCGATGTGAATACACCACCCCCCACCCCATTCAGCTCTTCATTACAATGGTTGAATATTTATTTTGAGAACAATAATAACCACTTCACAGTTTTTTTTATTTTTTATTTTTTTGCTGAGACACATCTGCCTCTTCTGTACCAAACAGGTTGGTTAAAGCCTTTTTTAAAGTTTATAGCTCAGTAAGCTGCTTCCCCAGAATTCATGTTGTTTTGGTGTAAGCCTGGCTAAGTGACAGAGGGAGGGGGGTTGGGGAATGATCTTGTAGTAAGTCCTCTTGGATCATGTGACCACAGATATCAGAAATGCCATCTCGGCTCAGTGGAGCATTGAACATCACTGGCTTGTGTGTGGATATATTTAGTCTTTCCTACCGTCCTTCCTTCCATCCCTAATAATGAACATTATGTCTGGTCATTACATGCATCCCTATATGCCAAAATGAAGTCCCATTGTGTGCTGCTGGACAGCTTAATGCATGCATGCATGTATGTGTGTGTGTAACGGGTCGGTGGGGGTAGCACTGGGGGATGGGCAGCCTCCTATAGGCAGGGGTTTAAAGAGACAGGCACTGTTTTGTTTTTTTGTTTTGTGAACAAAGATTAGGAATGAAAGTCCAAGCGATATTGTGAACGACATGTCCAGCATGTTATCTACTTTGTGTTTCAACCAGAAACACATCTGTATGTCGCTTTAGTGTGCCTGATGTTAAATCCACTAAGAGGGATGGTAAAATCTTTTCTGTAAGAGTTCAGGTTTTGGAGACTGTCAGCCATTGTTACATGCCTGCTTAGGTTAGGAAATGTCCAACTATTTCCTCTTTAAAGAAGAAGCTCTTATCTGGCTTTCCATATGTGCCATACTCCAGGAGGACGTAGGAGTCTTTATCTTAGCATACCATGTCAGTGTGTGTGTTTCTATACCACAGCGGGGCGTATTAGAATTATTCTTATTCTTCTATCACTAATTAAACTGTGTCATTTTCCTCTTTCAGTCGTTACTCTCTGAATAGCTATTTTAGTGAATGGGATTATGCTGAACTACTATTCAGCAATAATTTTCTAGCCCAGAGGAACTTCCCCTTTACTACAGAGAGCTCCCGGCCCTGGCCGTGTGCCAGAGTGATGATGGAGGCTCTGCTCAGAGATGCGTCTTCGTGCCACTGAGCCATCCCTGCACCATATGTCTGTGTTTCTGCTGTTGAGTTTTAATTCATTACGATGGGAGCTGACTGAGGCCTTCTGTCCATCTCAGGGTACAGTCTGGGCGAAGCAGAGACCCGGGAGTGCGTGTACTACAATGATAACTGGCGTACAGAGAGGACCAACCAGAGCGGCTTCGAGCGATGCGAGGGGGAGAAGGACAAGCGCCTGCACTGTTATGCCTCGTGGCTCAACTCCTCAGGGACCATCAAGCTGGTGAAGAAAGGCTGCTGGTTGGACGACTTCAACTGCTATGACAGGTCGGGTCACTGAGCGAGGTCATCATGCATTTACATTTAGGTTTTGGTTATCTGGCTCGTGCCCAGCTTTGGCTGGTGGTGAGTGCAGCAGTCTCAGTATCTGTGTGTAGTTCAGTGCATCTTTATTTCTCTGACCTGGGGCATTTTCAGGAGTACAAATAAAAGATCTGAAATTATTTGTTGGTTAGCCAGTTTGCTGAGAAACTGTCAAATATTTGCAATTAGAAGATTCTCAAAAGAGAAGATGAGTGGGGGTTTTTATCATTATAAAAAGTCAAGCAAATTAAAGGGATCTTGTGCTCTGGGAATATTTTGAAGAGCATTTTTAACAGGATCAGTCAATATGGAAAGCATCACTTGCACCTCCAAAAAGAAAAAGGACAAGAAAACAATGCAGGAAATTCACTGTACCAAATTAACTATAGTCTCTTTTCAGTTTGATTTGATGTCAACACACACTACATAGTCTGAACTGACTGACGTGCACACCTTTATGAATGCTACACATGAGCAGTCATGTCAAAGTATGCAAACCCCTTTACCTTTTGCACACTTTGTGCTGTAGATTAAATTTAAAATGGATCAAATTGCCATTTTTGTTTACGCTCAGTAGCCCATAATGAAGTGTTTTTGGAAAATTTGTCAAATTTTTTTTAGAACTCCAAAACTGAAGTCTATCAAGTATTCAGACCCTTTGCTGTGGCGTTCCAGACGGTGGTCAGGAGCATTTTCTATGTTTTAATTTGTGTTGATGTGTCAAGAGTTTGATTGGAGTCCTCAAAACTTCAATTTCATCCATTTACAATTATTACAAAACACACACAGTGTAAAAGGTGATGGGGCCTGAAGCCACTGCACACAAAGCTGAGAATGGAACGGTACAGGGCAGCAACTAATATTTTTTAACAATTTTGTCAATGAATTGATTCATTATTATTCATAAAAATTTAAGATTGTAAAAAACAAGAACAACCCACACACGCACAAAAAGTCCACTGCCGTTTCCCAGAGCACAAGATAACACGTTCAGTCTGCTCGCTTTCTCAGATCCAAACCCCACAGACATTCAATTTGCAATGATATAAAACACAAAAGCAGAAGTATGCACATTTGTGAAGCTGATACTAAGAAACATTGACCAGTTTTGCTTTGCAAAGTGACTAAAAAAATGAATGGCTCATCAAAATAGTTATTTAAATTGTGTGTAAAACCAAATTTAAACTAGAAGGCATGCAGTCTGCTACACATGCAAGCATCAGTAGGCACAGAGAAGGCCAGGCAAACAGGTCGAGGGTAGTTTTTAATGTTGACATAAATACATTATTTGAATTGGTGTCTATTCAACCAACAAAACTCCAGTGTGGAAATAAGCAGCAGTGTGCATCGACGGTGCAGGGTACAGCCCGTCGATGGCAGACAGATCCAGTTGCACCAGGCCACACAGGATTTTCCAAGTCAGGAGGAGAATTTTAAACTAGACTTTTATCAGCAGCTGGTGCAGAGTTGTGTGGCACGATCAAACTTCCCAGTCTTTAATATTCAAGCCACAGCTTTTTTGCACAGGCTGGTGACCTCTGGTGGCTCATGAAGTCAAGCTGGTGGAAAAAGAAATGTAGTAATCTTCTCTAGATGACACAGTGTCTGCAGTGTTTAGTAGCTGTGAGATTGATCTGCAGTTTGGGTGTATAGGAGGAGCATTAGGATCAAGACTGGAGCTGTAGAACAGCGGTGAAACAATGGCTATTTTGAGTGACAATTTGATGATGATCAGCATTAGACTTCATCAAACCAAAAGCAGAATTTTACAAAGCTTTGCTACAACATGATGTAAACAGATTGTAGGTTTGGAGGCAGCTACAAATGTGCTGACAGATTTGAGGGAAATTGCTTGGGCCTGAAGCGCTGTTGGCTGTAATTACAATCAAAGTGGGAATATAGTGGACCTGGAAAAGTACATTTGTTCCTGATCAATTTAGTATGAGTGAAAAGCTCCATTAACATAGTGACAAAAATGGAGGGTGATGAAGAGGTAGGCAATTCAGAGCAAGTTGAGGGACAGTGGTAAAGTGCGGAGATTTGCAGTTTTGTGCATATAATGTTAGAAATCCTGTGAATTATCTGTATTTGGCACACTTGCTGACTTCATGAGAGAACTAAGATAATATATCCTCAGTCAGAAGAGGTTTTTAATGAATATGCACTCTATAAATTTCTTTTTTTGGCTCCTACATTGGCAGCGTTAACAGGAATTGATACCGAGGAGCGAACAGGTCGTGGACAGACAATAATGTACAAACAGAAGAGACAGAAAACAAGTCAGTCATTCAACATTTGGTCCTTCAGTTTAAAATGAAAACAACAAAACACTATGTTAGTTTTACCATCGAGACCTTTTGGTCCTGTTCACCGTGTTCGCGTTACAGCTCTTAATGCTCAGTTTCAAAGCTTCTGTCTGATCCGATCTTTCTCTGTTCATCATGGTTTGGTTCCAGCTCCTCTCTGAACCCCCATGCTCTCACAGATTCAACTGAATATGAGCCGCATGCGCATAAGAATAACAACAGCGTAATTTGTGTAACAATTTCCTGACAAACTGCTTGGTTTCGACATGTTCTCTCCACCTTGGGGAGCCGGCGTGACCTGTAGCTTCTCAACAATGACGTCATTTGTCTGACAATCAGTTTGCACATTTTCCTCAAAAACTGCTCAGTTATGACATGTTCCTTCCAGTTGGGTGTGATCAGAAGCTTCTGAATAAATATCCAACAAATGTGAAACGTTATGGTCTGTCCAATGATCCCCATCACTGTTGTTGCTCTCCTCTGTTTTTACCAGTCTGTGAGTGGCCAACACTGCGTGATGATGATGATGGGCAATATGAGCATGCGCAGAGGAGTGTGACATTGATGAAACTGCATTAATTGGATCTGACCGAGGTCACATGGTCTCTGATAACATAGTGGATCTAAGACCATATATGCAGGTGACCCAGATCCAGTCTGGGGAAAAAAGGGGATTTGGTTTGTTCTCTCATCTGTGAAAAGATCTGAGCCAATCTTGTTGAGTCACTTCAGCTTGCAGCCTGAACGTAGCAGTTGTTTAGTGTTAAATCAGCTTTTCACATGTATTTTGTTGTTGGCTTTTGTTTATCAGAGGAATAATCTCAGTGTGTGATCTGCTGTTTCAGGCAAGAGTGTGTCTCAATGGAGGAAAACCCTCAGGTCTTCTTCTGCTGCTGCGAGGGCAACTACTGCAATGAACGATTCACCCACCTTCCTGACTTGATTGGCAGCGGCAACCGAGGTGAGTGGCAGAGACTTCCCACATATAGTACGAGCAAAAAATAGATCCTAGCCTTGCATGTGGTCATAAACGATGTCATGATTGGGATTTTGTTATGATCCTTTTTACGCAGACTAAAATGTTGCTAAATTTTTTCTTGTTAACTTGGCATGAATAAGAGCCACAGTCAAAACATAACAATCTCCTGCAGTTTATTCCACTGATTGCATGTATTGAATGTAGAAGTGCATTGAGGTTGTCTGGTTTTTAAGCCTGTGATGTTGCACCTGTCAGTAATTTTATTTCTATAGTCCAGTACTGATTTACAGCCGCCTAGAAGGTAACAAGAAGTGAACATTTTTAACAGGCTGTCACTTGCGTGTTTGCTGCATTTCTCCACACTCTGTAATCATTTCCCAGTCATTTGTCAAGATCAAGGCTGGGCAGTCTAGATAAAACACTACCCTGCTCTTTAAAAATCAGGTCTCGCAGTCTGTGAGGGACAGTTGTGATGCTGCTAATAACCTACAAGTCATAAAGCTGACATGCTGTAATTATTCTGTTTATCCTTGACAGTGAAAATCCGGCCTCCGCCTCGAGTGCCGTCGGTGCTCAATGTGTTGGTGTACTCCCTGCTGCCTCTCTGTGTGCTGTCCCTGGCCCTCGTTCTGGCCTTGTGGATGTACCGCCACCGCAAACCTCCCTATGGCCACGTGGACCTGAGCGAGGTGAGACAGGCCATACTCAACCCTGGCTCTCATTTGAAGTAGTAATCCACAAAATGTGAGATCAGTCTTTCACTGCGTATGTTTTCTGATGTTTATTCTTCTGGTATATTCCTGAAGGGATGTCAAAGTGACACTTTGTTTTGAGATGAATTTGGCAGAGGAATGAGGCTGTGTTTTCTTTGTTGTTATTTAGGATCCAGGACCTACTCCTCCATCCCCCTTGGTGGGTCTGAAACCACTGCAGCTTCTTGAAATCAAAGCTAGGGGGCGCTTCGGCTGTGTGTGGAAAGCCCAGCTGATGAGTGAATATGTTGCTGTAAAGATCTTCCCTGTTCAGGTACATCAACAAAATGAATTAAACTTTTTTTTTAAGTCTGTGCTGCTCTTTTTCAAGGATCAAGGGTGACTTCTATCTCTTCTGCGGCAGTGCAAGTAAATGGTTTTTTTCATAGATCCCCTGCCGCATATTTTTCAGAAAGTAGGATGTTTAGAACTGTCTTTTAAATATAATGTTAATACATGAGAGGCACAAACTGGTGCAGCCTGTTTTGGGCCGCATTATTTTCCAAGGTGCTTGTATCACAAGCATCACAACCTAAACACAACTCCCTGGTTTGCATATGTTTTCATAGGATAAGCAGTCATGGCAGAATGAGCGGGACATCTTCTTGACTCCGGGGATGCGACATGAAAACATTCTGCGTTACATCGCTGCGGAAAAACATGGAACCAACCTGGAGACGGAGCTGTGGCTCATCACGGAGTTTCATGAGAGGGTGAGAGCACGTCTGCATGTATACGACCATATAATACCCGCATAGTAATTTCATGGTGGGGTGCAGGGCTTCTGCTCTGTGTTGACCAGAGCTGCTAGACATTTTCTAGTATTATTAGCTGAGCTCTTCATGCAGCCCAACAAAAGAGCATCAAGCTTTTGTTGGAGGATTTTATTACTTATGGTAATTCTCTAGCATCCACTAGATCTTTATATGTTTTGCTTATTTATGTTTGTTTTTTAAGCCTGTATTATTGAAATGATGCAGGCATTTAGATAACTAGTGGTATTAAAACTAATGTGTGTGCCTGAAATAAACAAATGGTAATTGCCATTTATGTAATGTTTTTGTAGCTTTCTGTATCTACAGGCAGTGAAACAATCATGTTTATAGCTAATTATTTTAGCTCCATGGGTGCATGTGTTTTCATTTTTTGTCAATACATGTAAAGGTATTTTAAGCTATACTGTATAAATTGTTCCTGACTCTTTTGCGTGTCTGTGTGTGCGCAGGGCTCATTGACCGACCACCTGAAGGGTAACACTGTGACCTGGAGTGAGCTGTGTCACATAGCAGAGACCATGTCACGAGGCTTGGCCTACCTCCATGAGGACATTCCCAGCTACAAGGGAGAGGGGCCAAAACCCACTATTGCGCACAGGTAGGGATAACTTAAGCATCCTGAACCATGTCTTCAGGATGCTGGAAACCTGGTGGTTGCATAGATCAAAACTTAAATTAGTAGTGCCCCCTTCTGGTTGCCTTTGGTGTAGTCATTTTCAGGATGTCCATGGATTAATAGATACAGTATGTGCGACTTAGTCTCTAGCATTTCAGCATTTCAGTGACTGTCCTGAAATAAATTTCCCAGGGACTTCAAGAGCAAGAATGTGATGCTTCAAGATGATTTAACTTCAGTCATTGGAGACTTTGGACTCGCTGTACGATTTGAACCAGGAAAACCACCAGGGGACACTCATGGCCAGGTATGAAATGCTTTACTATGGTTTTAATTTCTGCATTGGCACTCTGGTGCATGGCCGAGTGACTGTCCCCTTGTTTCTGCTGATATGTTCACACAGGCTTTATACGGTTTTTGCAGCTTATGAGTTCTTTAGCAAATAATGACTTGAAAGGAGTGAATGTTTACGTAGTCATTTATGGGGATTTATATCAGAACTTCATTTAATTTTATAGTTCTTTGGCATTAAAAATCTTTCTCTGTTCCTCAAAATCAAACATGAAAAAGACAAAGTGTCAGTGTTGTTATAGTATGTAGGAGTTCAGAATAACACACCTGGTGGCCGTTTCCCCTTGCAGGCTTTGGCATTGAGAGATAAGGTTAATAATTCACCACAGAAAGAATTCAAAACTGTTTATTCTGTCTGCAGAGTAACTCGGACACCTTTGGGGACTGTCACTTTAATGGGAGCCAGTTAACTCGATAATGGGTTTGATAGCGTTCTCTTCAGAAACCATACACACACACAAAGACACAGACTTTCATGTATTGTCCTGCCAGGTGGGTACTAGGCGTTACATGGCCCCAGAGGTGCTAGAGGGAGCCATCAACTTCCAACGAGACTCCTTCCTGAGGATAGACATGTACGCTATGGGCTTGGTGCTGTGGGAGCTGGTGTCCCGCTGCTCAGAGGCCGATGGTGAGTCAAACTGTGCAGGAATTTTTATCACTGTGCTTCAGGGTGACCTAATAAACAAAGGATTAGTTTTTGTTTTTGTCTGGGGAAGCCATTTGATTAAGGGCAAAGGTGTAATGTGGCTGAGTTTGCTCTTTATATTCAGCACTGTTTAATTGACTTATTTCCTGCCTTATGCTCTCCAACCTGTGGCTTTACTGTGTCTCTACAGGTATAGTTGGTGAGTACATGCTGCCATTTGAGGATGAAATAGGCCAGCATCCCTCCCTGGAGGATCTGCAGGATGTGGTCGTGCACAAGAAGATGCGTCCAGTTATCAAGGACTGCTGGCTCAAACATCCTGTGAGTAACAGTGGAAGAATAGCTCCTGCAGCTCCAACAGCAATACCAGGATGTCGTGCATCCTTTTTTCCAGTGAATGTAGCTCAATCCTGTGAGGTCATAGTTCTCTGAATAAGTTCTATTGTTGTTGTTGTTGTTGTTTTTTTACAACTTTAAGCCAGAGAGGGAGTGTAGGATTTCTGCCATAGTTAATGTTTGGGTTCAAAGCAAAATGAACCTTATAAAAATAAAAACCCAAACTTAGTCTCCTAACTTCTGGTTGTGACTACAGGGTTTGAGCCAGATGTGCGAGACCATTGAGGAATGCTGGGACCACGACGCAGAGGCACGATTGTCGGCCGGCTGCGTTGAGGAACGCATCGGCCAAATTGCTAGGACGATCAGCAGCACTACCTCAGACATCCCCGCCTCCATTGTGACAGCTCTCACCAACGAGGACCTACCTCCCAAAGAGTCCAGCACCTGAACTGGTGACAACTTCGTTCACCTGAGCTCCTGACATTTTCCTTTTCAAACCCAAACTCAGCGGATCTCCGTGAATATTTCAAAACGTAAAACAACTAGCAACTTGAATGCAGCTGCTATTTTATCCCAATACTGGTATTTTTTTCTGTTTTCTGTGTTTTAAGTCAGATTTTACTAACATTCATCTGCTGTAGTTTTGTAGTAATAAGCTATGCGATGGGCACATTTGTTAGCACCCATGTGTCAGATCTTAAATATTGTCATTACCTCATGTATTTCTTTTGTGTTAGTCTGTCGGTTTTTTTTTTGTTTGTTTTGTTTTAACCTCATGAGTTATTGTCTTTTCCATTTTCCTGTTGTGGTCATGATCGTCTGCGGCCAAATGAAATGAACCTTTGCTCCAAACCTCGGACGACATGCTGCACACCTCGGAGGAACCATTTTCAGACTGTTAGACAAAATCTATTCATCTTCCTCAGGGGTTGAAGCTTCTCAAATATTTTTTTTAACTCAAATGTGCTCTCATTCTAAACCTGTGAACGCCTCAGAATGGGGAAAAGAAGATCAAAAAAAAGTCAGAGCACAGCTGTTGTATTGTAAGGGGGGGGGAGTTGAGCAGTTGTACTGGACATTTTGAACTCTATGAAGATTTGGGACAAGCATCTTGTCCCTGGGGAACTACCTCTCAGGTATCCAGTGAGCTTCTTTGGAACATTTTCTCTAATTTGAGAGCCAAGCTATCAAGCTAGCTAACCTGGACATATTCCTGGATTTTTATTGGTTTATTAATTGTAGAAATTCAGAGTTACTCCTTTGCCAGTGCCAGGGGCATTGACGGATGCTGTCTGGAGTTGCAATGTTACACATTCTTGATTATTTTTTAACTGTCTGTGTGAGTTTATGTGTGTTTGTATGTATGTGTGACAATTTGAAGACTCAGTGATATGAGATGGGATAGAGAGCATGTTTTTAAAGGAAGAACCAGGGGCAGGTAGTTGGGTTTTATCCTTGCGAGGGCCATACTTGAGTAAGCAACATGTCTGTTTTTAATTTTCAGGGGTGTTTGTTCAGTAGACTCAGACACCAGTCCCCAGATACCTCAGTCACTGTACGTCATGCAAGGAGAGCTCAAATGGTTGCCTTTGTCTCAAATGCAATGCCATAGTTGTACCATAACATGAATACCATACATCTGAATGTCCGTTATGCTGCTGTGACTATTCCAGGATACTCAAGGATTTGTAGATGTACATGTATTCTTTGTTAATATAATGCTAACGTGATAACTATTCATTATATTATGTGAGGCTAATATTCTCTTTTGGGTTTGGGTTTTGTTTTTGTTTCTCCCAACCGGGTAGGCCCTCAGCTGCTTACTCCTCCAGACTGACCTCAAATATTCTGACAAGTACCTCAGGCTTTTTCTACATGTATATCAAGTTGTGTTGTGTATTTTATTGTGTTTTAGTAGTTGAGCTATTTTATTGCTGGTTAGGCCTAGTCTGTGGAGATTTCTTTTAATGGAGACTGACCAGTTGTCACGGTGTTAATGCTGTACAAACCTAAAACAAAAGAGGCAGATAGTTGTAAATAGACTTGTAAACACAGTTGCCGAACACTGATCTTTTGTTTTTTTAATACAAAATCAGGGTAATGGTGTTCTCATTTGACATAAATGGATTTCTCAGTTCCATCTCTACATATTTAAGTCATTTTTGACAACTAGCCCTGTGATTATATATACACACATATATATTTTCAGATTTCTAAGAATGGTAATTGTGTTGCTGTTCTATGAATAATGGTATCTGTTCCTCTGGGTCAGAAGCTGTGTAGGTAGCACTTGCATTAGAAAGCTTAGTGTGAATATAAAAAAAATCCTAATGGTTTGCTGCGGGTGGCTTCTGTGATTGGCCACTTGTTTTAAATGCCAGTTTGAACAGTATTACCTCAATATTAACCCGCTGATGTGATGTTCAGGCCTGTTTAGTGATAGTTTATACACGTTGGACAACACACACACACTCATCTGTTGTGCTGTGGAAAGATGCTTTTGACATTTGCTCCTGTGCAGTTTCTGAAGTTGCAGTTGGTGAAGAATGTGTGTGTGTGGGGGGTGGGGGGGGGCATCAATTAATAGAGAACACTGTTTAAAGTGTTTGGAAATGATCGACATGTCTAACCACATGAGTGATTGATTTGATAAAGCAGCCTCATTAGGAGTCGTGTAAAGAGCGGCATGTGCGTGGTCCAAGGGTCCAGCAATATTTATTACACAGCAATAGTCATTTGAATATTCTAGTTCAGTTCATTAAACTCAGATCAATAAACTGCATCTCAACACACCTGGATCACGTTCTGACAAGGACACGTGTTAAGCGTCCTGACAGAAAACTGCTGCGAGTAGAACATGACCCAGGTGCTCTCACGTATTGTGCCAGAAAAACAACGATCACGTAGGAGAATCTGCCACGATCGGTTGTTACCTCCAAATGCTGTCTTACACCCAGCTCTTCTGAACAGAAAAACCAGTTACCTCATGCAGTACCTCGTTAGTAACACTAACATGGAGTCGGTCTCATCTTCAAAAAAAAGGCAAAAAAAAAAAGTATCGTGTATATATTTACTTGACAAATGTAAAAGGTTTCTTCCTTTTTCATGTGTGGGTCCTGTGAATGCAAAATCCCCCTTTTTTATTAAGTTTCCAGTCCACGTATTATTTTTTTCTTGTAGTATGAGTGGATGTTTCACTGAAATTGTGACCTTCCCTGTTTATGTGAATTCTCCGTGTGTGTGAGTGGTGTAGGTTGGTTGTCTTCACTAAAACAGTATGAATGGTAACTGTCTGTGAGTTGAAATGCTTAGAAATATATACTAGATGAAAATCCATCCATCTTTTGTATATTAAAATAAAGACAAACATGGATTAACCATGGAGGTGGAATTCTTTGGTTTTTCAGTTCACATCTGTTTGACTATGTTATCATACTCTCACATTACACATTACCTCAACATAAAAACAAGTTCCAGCTGATAAAATCAAGAGGGGGGTTGGTAGTTTAAAGCACCAAGCAAATATAAAAGCTTTTTTAGAAGCAACATTTTGTAGCTGTTGTTCTGTAACATACAGTAAATATGTTTGGGTGAGTTAATAATTTCTTTTTCTAGGGCAATGCCTATAGATCAAAACTGAAGATTAACCATAGTTTGGAAGCAAACTTGGAAAGGCACTAAAATAAATTAAAAACTAAAAAATAGTTACAGTAAACTTTGCTTATTCCTTTAGGTTGAATCTTACATTGTTAGCAATAACGTAACATTGTTGTGGTTCTGATATGGGGCCCAAAATTGTTGCAAGGCTTTATTCCCTATGCTCCAAAAATCACAATTTAATTCAGTTAATTATTCATTTAAGAACAGAAGCAGTATAACCATATAACCAAGCAATATAAAATCAAAGAGTTAAACCTTGATATTGTTGCAACTAATAACTAACAATAATGCTGCATTTAATAAATCTACTAGCCTTATAATAATATGGTATCCCGGTCCACGTTTCTAGGTGCAATTTAAAATTAAATGTGTCTAATAAAGACTATTTAATTTCCCAACTGAGAAAATAAAATTCACGACTGAAAAAAACCTGGAAAATACATCAGAATTTTATGCAAACATAAGGTGCACGTTTATTACGCAAATGTTTCAGTTTGTTCATATTTATTTATAGACCTGTAGTCCAGTACCACTAACATACGAAGTCCTTTTTTAGCACATTCAGAGGTCATCCGAACAATTCAGAATCAGTTTACATGCCCTGCCCTGACAGTGTAATGATAGGCCTCTTAAATATCGGCAGCGAGGAGCATAACCATGATAAAGTGCGTTTATTTCTCTTAACATATATTCCATCGAGATACATTTCACTATCTCAGGATGTTAATTTAAAACCACACCTGTTCTAATCCGGATGCTATTTCATGTTTATTTTGAGATCCCACCGTAATGTCCGCCTGCAAGTGAAGACATCACAGCTCCTTGCCATTCAGAGAAAATAGCCAATCAAGACGCGTCTAGGTAGTCATGTGGCAAACCGTCTGGTAAATTACGATTGACTTGAGACTTGCGAATATTCGGTTCCTTGTTGGTGGACAGTTGGTTCAAAGAGAACAACTTTTTAACTTATTTGGAGTTCGTTGTTTTCTGGCGGAAATACACTTGTCTCTCTTAAGCAGAGTTTTGTTTTGATTTTGTGGCCATTATGTCAGTAAACTCCCGAGCAGGTGAGTTTAAATAGCGTATTTTGGCTATGCCCGCAAAGTAGTGCATGACCCTGGTCGTGTGGTTTTAGCACAGCGTTACTGGGACAGCAACGACACTTTTCATTGTAAAATGTGCCGAACAGAAATGTGAAGGCGTTGTTTGCCATATTGCTTACAATTTCACCTAGTTTTGGTCTTTTTAAAGCGTTAGCGTTGCTTTTATCAAATGGGTGGCAGTGTTCTTATGTACTGACAGATAACGCTAACGTTTTGTTTTTAACGTTACAAATTTAACGTTAAGATAGCTGATAGCGAAACATTACTCAACGTTAACGTTACAGCGCTTGTAAGTAACGTTAAAAAACATTTGGGAAAATGTTATGGTGTCATTTAAAGACATTAAATGACTTGTATGGGAAACCAAAAGCAAAATTTGCTCTCTGTACACTCACTACTTAGTATAAGAGACACCGTTGCTATAAAACTGATAAGATTTGTCATCAGGACTTGGTTCATTAAATTCTAGAGTGTATACTCTGATTCCTATTGTTTAGTTGTTACTATACACCATTACAGGTATTTTAAGTTCAGTTATAGAGATACACTCATCATGTTCATCCATCGCTCTCTGTCTTTTAGCCGTCCAGCGACCAGGGCAGCGTGGTGAGTTAAGGGGATAGCTGGCCTGCTGTACCCCCTATAAAGGGTGTCAGCTGCACAGGCTGCTGGGATGCTACGGGAGAGCGGG